GGTTTCTGTTCTGCCTGGTTCCCACCGCTGTTCAGTACCAAAGAAGCACGCAGATATCTAGAATAATTATAAAATGGTTGGCTTATTAGCTCAGGCTTTCTTATTAACTAAGTCTTACATTGTACATTAACCCATTATTCTTGTCTATGTTAGCCATGTGGCTTGGTACATTTTATCAGCAAGGCATTCTCATCTTGCTTCTTCTGTGTCTGGGTGGCGACTGCAGAATCAGCCTTTCCTCTTCTCAGAATTTTCTTATTCTGTCATCCTGCCCTTACTTACTGCCTGGCTATTGGCCAATCAGCCTTTTATGAAACTAGAACAATTGACAAAATTTTACAGGAGATAAGTCCCACAGCACTCCCCCTCCACCTTTTCTTTCCCCACTGCACTATTAGCTATAAATGGCCTTAGCCTTCCTTTCTGTCCTTCTGGCCCTATGGCCTACCTTGTGCTTTGTTTAACTTGAAATAGGGTTCGAATTCCTAGTAATTGAATATCTGCCTCTTGAAGAGGCCAGTTTGGATACCAAGATTGCTGAGCAATGATATGTCTGCACCCGTGTCTATTAATCCCTCAATTACAATGTCATTTATGTGTGCTGTCAGCTTTGGTCTTTGGTCATTTATAGAAGTATGCCAAAATATACATTTACTATTTCCTACTGGAGTTTTTACTCATCTTTCATATCTATCCAGTCATCCAGACCAGTATGTTATTTTACAGTAGGCACTGGATTGCTTAATTTTCCTGGTGAGACATGTTCTCTACAGTGACTGGGAATGACTGGACCTTGTTTAACATAGGGACCTGTGAGAGGCCTCCTCAAGGAGTTTCCTGGTTGTATCTGGTTGTTTTGTCTGTCTTTTGCCAAACTACATTCATTAGTCCAATGTCTGCCTTTGCCACACCTCCTACACATACAGGAAGGCTGAGTCCTCCTATTCTTGCCATCCCTAGAGGAGACATTATCCCTAGGAGTTCCTTGTCTTCTTAGTCCCTTCTTAGATGTCCTATTCTACCACAATTAAAACCATTGGCATTTTGGTTTCTCCTCATACCTTTGGAAATCATTTCTCCTACCCAAGCCTCAGTACTATAGTCAAATGTTTCAACATTCATTGTATGCAAGATCCATTCATCTATGGGTGCTGATCTGACCTTTAAAGGCCCAAGGACCTTCTTACATTTTAAGTTGGCATTTTTAAAAGCCGAAGATTCAATAAATACACTTCTAGCTTCAGGGTCTGTCACTCCCACTTTTACAGCCTTAGTTAATCTTTGTTTCACTAATGTGTTCTCTCTGACCCTGTTTAACCCTAATATAGGACTCAAACCTCTTTCCTATTTCCTGAACCCTGTCCCAAGCATGTAAAGCAGGGGTGCAGAAGTGGAGTTGAGGGAATGCGCACCTGGGGAAACTATGTCAACTTCTTGTGTGCATTGCACTAAATGGCAGAGGGGCCTGAATGAGAAGCTTGGCCTCTCGTCACCTCCACACAGAGACCACCCCTGACCATGGCAGGAGTCAAGCAATGAACTAAGCATGTGACCCACTCACGGAATGAGAAGGGTGGATGGTTCTTGTTTTTATTGTTATTTCATCTGTTTTTGTCTCTCTGGGTGACTTAATTGAACCAAAAAAAGATTCAGGTCCCCAACAAGACGAGCAGAGTTCTTAAGACAGGTGTTCACATACTAGAGAAAGCCACTAGTCAATGCAGGAAAATAGAACTGAAAGATACACAGATACACAGATGCACACAATACACAGACACATATATACACACAGTTAAAACAAGCAGTGGTGAGTACTACATATTCATTCATATGAAAAGATGGGGAATCCAGTAACATCCCACGAGGTTCCCAGCACTGGACCAATGGCCTTGTCAGACCTCTCCTCTGTGTAAAAAGAGAAGGCGCCTTAGCCACACTTCCCTCTGGACCTGATAGACTAGGTGAGTTTCTGATTTGTTACCTTTTGGGGTGCAGACTTCAGACTCCTCTGATGCCTTAGACTCCAGTTTATCAAAGGAAGCCCTGGTGACCTGGAACCCAGGTGGCACACACCCCCTAGGACAGTGGATCTCAACCTTTCCAATAGTGTTATCCTTTAACACAGTTTCTCATGTTGTGGTGACCCCATAAAGTTATTTTTGTTGTTCCTTCATAACTGTAATTCTTCTAGTGTTATGAATCATAGTGTAAATATCCGATATGCAAGAGATCTGACATGTGGCCTGTGACCACTTTGAAAAGCCCCTTGAACCCTCCAAAGGGTTGAGACCCATTAGTTGAGGACCACTTCCCTTGGAGCTCCTTGACCACCACAGTCTTCCCTGTTACAAGGGTCTCTGGTGTCTTTAGGTCTGGTTCTGGGATCTTGGTCAGACTTTCAGAAACGTTGTGGGGTATTCACCAGAGAAGACTGCTCAGACATGGATTTAAGTTAATAGAAGCTCTTTATTAGCAGGTCAGCAATCACACTGTATATTTGGGAGCCAGTGTGGCACCAAGCATTTTTCAGGTTGAACTTATATGCGCAAAAAAAAAAAATGTTCTGTGTGGACATGCTTTAGTCAAGAATGGTTAGCCAGGAATACGAGTACAGAAGCCAGAAAGCAAGGTCAGTCCATTCAGAGACTGTCCCTCAACTATGAAGTTGGAGGGATTAGGCCTTTGTTTTAGGTTTGGCAGGTAGTTTTGTCTATGTGCTGAGTTTTACAGTGTGAATGGCACTTTGATCATGGAGTCAGCTGTGCTAAGATATGAAACCCTGTTACAGTTACCAGTGATTTCTATTAAACAACTGGTCCTCATTTTCCATTTACTATGATTAGTTGTTGCAGGTTTCCTTTAGTGATACCTGATATGTTTGAATATTGTATGCAATATACAGAAGAGTGAAAACATCAAATTTTCACTAAGGAGATCTGATTATCCTGTTTCCTGTGCTAGGGATGTATACATAACCAAGTTTTTTTTTTTTCCAAATCTCTGGTTCAAGTAGTTTCATTAGGGCAAAGCCAACCAAGGCACACCAAGAGAAACAGTACCAGGTTTCTGTTACTGTTACTGAAAGGGCCCAAGTAAATGCACAGAGTGAAGACCATGAAATGCTGTGTCTGCAGCATCATGATTCATCTGGTGGAAGCTGATGGAAAGGGAGAGTGGTAGCACCAGATGAACTCCCATGACTTCTCTGGAGCATCTTCAACCTGCAGCAAGGAAACACGTCTTTTGAAGGATCTGAGGAAAGCCTGGGTCAGTTCCCCTGGGCACCCTGTACCAGTCATCACCACCCCACAGCCACGCTCACTGAGGGTCATTCAGTTCCCTCCTCCATCACCCCTGGGCTCCCCATTCAGGATCCCCTACTGTCTTCCTCCTTCTTTCCCATGTCCCAGAGCCTCAGACCCTGCTGCAGACCTGGGAGTTCAGAATGAAGTGGTGATGACTAGCTCTGCTTCCTCACTCAGGGCCTGATGGGGGTGGGGGGTGGAAGAGACTGAGGATCTCTATCCAGAAAGGGCCCCGGGTACTGGTTATCCAGGCTATGAGTGGAGTTCCAGACATCATTTCCCTTTCATTGTAAAACCCTCAAAATCTAAGAGTGGCATCACACCTGTGGGTGTGCCTGTCCCTGCCCTACCTTGTCCATCTGAGCAGCCCAGATGGGAGCTGTAGACTCCAGGAACAGCTTAGTCTCATTTGTCTCCAGTAGGGACACTGCTCCATTGATTCTGGAGGCTGCTGCTGCTGCTTGATTTATTTATGTGTATGAATGTGAGTCTGATAGTCTTTAAGTGTTCTATGTGAATGCCTGGTGTATGTGGAGAAGAAGGGGCTGGATCTTCTGGATCTGAAATTGTATAGTTTTGACTACCTTGTGGGTTCTGGGAATGGAACTTGGGTCTGATGCACAAGTAGCACATGGTCTTGCCACTGGGCCATCTTTTTATTTGTACCATTTTTTATATTTATTTATATCAATTTATCTTTGTCTGTCGGGTGGAATCTTATTCCCTCTACACATTGAGTGGGACTACCATGCGTTTTTGTGTTTCTGTTGACTCCTCATCTGCATGATGAAATCCTCCTAATTAGGAACCTGCTCTGTTCCCTCCTCTTTCCCACTGGTCTATGACATGATTCCTGTCCTGTCCAGGCTCAGGATACACAAGCTATTGCTAGCAGGTGACATGAACTCCAGATCTCTTGCGTCCTATCTCAATTAGATGCTCAATAAGATGAGGGACAACAATAGGACTCCAGTAATTCACTCTTGCTTCTTTGCTTCTTACCCTCCTGTCCCTCACCCCGCTCCCAATACAACACACAGTACCTGTCATTGTCAAGGATTTTCATCAGAATACATAGAAGAAGGAAGTAGGGAAGGATTAAAAGCAGGACAGTGATCTTAGGATCGATGGCCATGGATGAAGACTGGTCCACATCTGAAGTAGTGGTTGTGGAGGCTGAAAGCAGGTCAGCAATCTTAGGATCGATGGCCATGGATGAAGACTGGTCCACATGTGGAATAGTGGTTGTTGAGGCTGAAGTGGAAACACAAGTTGAGTCTTTGACCAGACCTCAAATCTTAGAAAATCTCATTGTAGCTTCTGGGTGCTCAGGTAATTCAACAACATAAAGTTCCACCCCTGTTGCTGTGGAACAACTGTTTAGGTGAGCGGATCCCTGACCTCAAAAGACTCATGCAGCTATGTTAGGAAGAACAGGATAATGATGAGTCCTTGTCTTTCCTGCTGGCAGGAGAGCAGGCATGAGGGTGACCTGTGAGGATGGTGACAGGGAAGAAGAAAGATCAGGGGAGATGAAAAGCAACAGTGATTCTAGAATGAAGAAAAAGTCAGGAAATAAAGACTCAGACTGTTACAACCAGTGAGAACCACAGAGAGAAAACAATGTACACACAAGTAATGAGATAGGAGAGGGTGAGAAAGAAGTGACTGGTGGAATAAATGGCCATCAGCACCAGAACTCATGGTGATTAGATTATTACACACCCCACGGCACCCTTCACCTGCCTGAGTTTCCACCCCATCTTCTCAGTTACCTGCAGGCTCTAGCTTTTCTTCCCAATGTGACTCGAACTCCTCAAGCAATTTCTTGCAGTCCCCCTGTGAGGTCCTGGATAAGAAGTCTGTTACATGCTTTTTTTTCTCCCACATCTCCTTCATCCACCTGGATCCAGGATCAACTTCAGTCCACTCTCCAGTGCTTGAGTCAACATGGGCCATTTTGTATCCATTGAGGCCAAAGTCCCAGGATCCATTGAAACGTCCATCTACTTCATGCCAACAACACAGCCTGGCCTGCAGAGAGAGGGGCTCTGTGCCCATTGGAAAGAGATCAGCCTCTGGCCTTGATGAATCCTGTCTACCTACCCTCCCTCCTTTCCCATTATCTGACCTTGCTCTACCCTCCACATTTTAGCTTTGGTGCTGGACCTCTTCTTTTCCTCCATGCAAACACTGAATGTCCCAAACTTGTCACAAATCCTGTTCTTTCCTTTAGGGGGCCATCTAATATGTTCTCTTATTAAATTGTAGCTGTGGGGATTGAACCTAGGACCTCATGCATGCCAGGCAAGCACACTACCACTGAGCTAAATCCCCAACACTATGGAGCCATTTGAATCTTACCTCTGATAGTATTATTCTCCTGTTTCAGGTCAATCATTTGCTGTTTGAACAGGTCAGATAAATCTCGCAGAGTCTCAACCTGTGTTCCCCAGATCTTTGTGGCACTCAGTCTATTTCCTAGAACACCATTGGGATAACAGTTGTTGGTACTGTTACAGTAAATAAAACACTTTTTGTTCAGTTGGCCTATGACTTCCCGATTCCATGGTCCAGATGCTGGTTTTTTAACAGTGAAGCTGTAGCAAAGAGAAGCAGCGTCTGTGAAGGAAACATGCGGTGAGGTTAGGGATGCGGAGCAGGGACGCAGAGACAGTCTCTGCCTGTGGATCAGGAAAGTCCTCTGGAAGGGAGTCTTTAAAAAGAGAAAGAGAGAAATAAGTGTTGACCGAGGTTTCTGTCCCACCCAGTCCTGCCCTGTCTGACAGTTGTTTAGTCACAAAGAAATCACACAGAGGTCTACAGTCATTATAAACTGAGTAACCTAGTATCTCAGGTGTCTTATTAACTCTTACACATTATATTAGCCCATAATTCTTGTCTGTGTTAGCCACGTGACTTGGTACCTTTTTGGCGAGGCAGTCGCATATTGCTATTTTGCTTCCTCTCCAGTTAGGTCATGACTGCAGACTGAAACTTCCCTCTTCTCAGGATTCTCATTGCCCTGCCTATACTCCCTGCCTGGCTACTGGCCAATTAGCATTTTATTAAAATACAATTGACAGGGCACAGACTATTGTCCCACAGCAAGTAAGTAAGAAGTCAATCAATCAGTCAATTAATCAATCGATCCCAGGCTGAGTTTCCACTGTGCTAAAAAAGTTTAACCTTTCTCTGTTACTTGAAGATGCAGGTCAAGGTGTGGCCACCCCTGCTCTCCACCAGGACAATTCCCTTCTCTGTTATCACATGATCTTGCTAGGGGTGGGCCCTGTCAGTTATGACAGGAAAATTCAGGATGTCTTCTCTGGACCTGTTCATTCTGTAGAATCTCCAGAACCTGCTCATGTAGACTGTGTGGAGACAGGATGGTGCGTGAGGCTGGGGGAGGGGGGCAGAGTGGAGCAGGGTGAGGATGGAACAGAGGTTGCATGGACACCATTTTTACTCATCTGTACTCAGATCATAGACTTGAACATCTTTGCTGGTTAGATTCTATTGCCAGTTTGATTTAGCCTAGAGTCACCTAATAAGGTAGTATCTACTGAGGGGCTGTTTTCACTATTAATAATGTAGGAACACCTGGGCACTGTGGACCTTACTATTCCCGGGACAGGCGGTCTCTGGCTGGATAAGAAATCTAGCTAAGCAGGAGCTGGTGATTCAGACAGCAAGCAGCTTCTTCCATGGTTCCTGCTGTGCCTCTCTGACTGTGAAATGAGTTCCTTGGTCCTAGATAATGCTGTGTGGAATGGCATGTGGGCCTGCCTCTGAGTACCTGCCCTGACCTCCCTCAGTGACAGACTATGACTTAGAAATAGGAGTCAAATAAATCAGTTTCTCCCTTACATTGATTTTGGTAGAGTGTTTATCACAGGAACAGAAAGAAACCAGAACAACACACTCCAGATCCCCTGTCTACTGCAGTGGTCCAGGGATGGCTTCCTCGACTGGTCAGAGGCTAGCCCACACTACAGGACACAGAAAATCTAGGCTGGTTAAATCTGACAGTAGAAGAGTGGGGATCAAGAATCTCAGAGAAGTGCATGTGCCAGAGTGGATGAAACAGCAAACATTTCCAGGGGAAGTGTGCAGAGTCCATGCTGTCTGTGGATGCTGGAGAATCTCTGCTGAGAAGCACAGTGAGAAGGACCAGGGAGAAGGGCACCAACATTCCTGGAAGCTCAGAGATGATGATGATGGGTCAAGGCTGGGGTGGGTTAGGAAACTGTATTCATGAATCCCAGCAAATATGGTACAGAAAAATCCCATCAAGTGGAGTAGTCAAGAAGCAGTAATATCAAGGACAGTGGTCCATTGCTGAGTAAGGGGACCCACTTTGAAGCTTAACTGCTTCAGGGAGTTACGACTAACAGAACATGAAAACGCTAAATACAGATAAGTGGTTAGCCAACTCACATGTGACTGAATTTTAATAATTAAAGACAGAACGGAAAATTGTGAAGCTGAAAGCTGCTGTCTTATGAAAATCCCAACTCCTGTGCCCATTGTTTAAACTGGACCATTGGGCCTGAGAGGCGGTGCAATGGTTGTGGGCACTGTCAGCTTTTGTAGAGGATCCACGTTTGATTCTCAGTTACCACACGTGGTAACTGATCACTGCAGGTAACTCCAGCTTCAGGAGATCCAACGCTCTCTCTCTCTTTTTTTAAATATTTATTTATTATGTATACAATATTCTGTCTGTGTGTATGCCTGCAGGCCAGAAGAGGGCACCAGACTCCATTAAAGATGGTTGTGAGCCACCATGTGGTTGCTGGGAATTGAACTCAGGATCTTTGGAAGAGCAGGCAATGCTCTTAACCTCTGAGCCAACTCTCCAGCCCTCCCAACGCTCTCTTTTGACCTCTGAGGCCACCAGGCACATATGTGGTGCACATACATACATGCAGATAAAACAAATAAATCTAAACATAAAAAAAAAATTTAAAGCTGAACCACCTCCCAGACAGACCGAGATTGTCTTCCTAGGAGGACCAATCAGATTCCAACAAAAGTGACCATTCGGGCCCCACAGCAAGTGCAGTCATTCTTTCTGTATCGCTTCATTACTGCCCTGTCACTCATATACAAACCCAGAGATGCTATTGTGAATGTCTGGTGTGGTTATTTGAATGAACCTCTCCTTTACAGAGTAGGGTGTTGGAATTCATGGTTTCCAGTTGGTGGCAGCTGCTTTTACAGGTTCAGGAGGTGTGGCCTGGCTGAAGGAAGTATGAGGCTGGGGCTGTGACTTTGAAAGCCATTCCCATTTCTTCATCTCTGGACCATGGTTGAGGTTTAAGATGTGGGCTTTCAGCTGGGCATGGTATCACAGGGCTCTAATCCCAGCACTTGAGAGACAGAGGCAAGTGAATCTTTCTGAGTTTGAGGCCAACCTGCTCTCCGTAGTGAGTTCCAGGACAGCCAGTGAGACATTGTCTCAAAAACCCAAACCAAATCATACCAGAACAAGCTGAACTAAAAATACGTGGGCTCTAACTTTGTGGCTTCAGTCACAATGCCTGCTTGCTGCCATGTTCCCTGCTGGAATAGTGATGGTGGTTGTTGAGTCTCATGGGAATGGAAGTTGAACCTGGTGGAACAAAGTTGTAATCCTAGCATTTGGTAAACTGAGGGAGAGGAGGGATTGTTGCAATTTTTATTGTGTGGGCTATTGTGTGAAATCCTGCTTAAAACAAAATAACAATAATAAAAATAACTAGGGGAAAAGTATGAACGTGTGTGGTTGTGACTGTCTTGTCCCTGGAAGCATCTATTGCATTCTTCTGGAGAATACCTTAGGAATGTAAGAAAGAAAGTTAAGGACAAAGAGGTCCCAGAATGGTGGAGGGCTTTTGAGGAATCCCAGGAAGGCAGTCTTCAGAGTATAGACAACCTTAGGGCAAGGGGAGCTGTGTGAGACTGCCTCCTGGTGGGGTCTTTAACTGTGCCTAGCACATCTGGTCCAGGTGACTGAATTTCAGGTTTCCTGTGACCACAGTGGCGCTGAGGATGCCACCAGGCATTGCCTTCTGTCACCCAGCACTCTTCAGTAACTTGCCTCCTTCCCTGCCCTCTGCCCTCACTTTTCTCCTAACTTGTTTAATCTACCAAATCCTGGTGGGTAGTGCCAGGGAGAGACTGGGCACTGTGGTAGTGAAGTGGGGAAGGAGAAGCCCAGGAGCTTCTATCCTGGCATACTGCAAACTTCCTGACTCAGAGCCAGGTTCTGTTCCCCCAGCCACCCTCCACTTAGACCCTGGGAACTCACCAGCCAACTCCTTGGTCACCAGACAGCTCAGTAGAACCAAAAGTCTCAGCTTCTGAAAATGATTGTTCAGTGAGTTCCGAGGCTTTGCCATGGTTCCTTCCTGAGACCTGGCTACAGACAGGTGTGACTGGAGCTGTGGAGAGAATCCAGGAGACCTCAGTACTGCTCTACAGAGGACCCTGAGCAGAGATTCCCAAAGGTCTCAGACAGCTGGGCTGTAAATTCAGGTCTTTCCATGCTCCGGCCATGCTGGTGCCTAGTTCCAGTCTTTTCCTGCATCTCTTAGGGGTCCCTCCCGGGCCCTGGAGCTCAGATCCCCCCTGCCAGAGAACCGCGGTCCTTGTGCCCTTAGGTGCATGAAGGGCACCATGTGAACTGAGAGGTGAGGGCACTGTGGTCCTGGACTCCACACCCTACAGTCCCTTCCTCTCACTCACTGGCAGCTGTGCCCTCTGGAACCATTGTAAACAGAATCAAGAAACTCATCTATGCTTTGGGCTACTTCTTTGCAGACCTCAGAGAGATGCAGATAAATTTATTTGGGACAGTGTAAGCCCTGTGCCATGTCAATGCACACAACCACGCCCTGTGGTATTGCTTGGCATTCCTGTCCTCATCAAAGTAGATGCCTCTGAATCACTCTTCTAGCAGTTCCTTCTGCTTCTGCTACAACTTCACACACAGTGAATCTCCCTCAGAACTCCTGCTCCTCCTCACTTCCTCTTTTGTAAATTTCTTCTCCATCCCAGAATCATTTGCCACTCCAGGTTCCTTTTCTATGACCTTTCCTGCACCCACATGGAATTTGTCACCTCTCTGCTTGCCACTGTCACTCAACCCCCATGCTTGACCCTCCCTAGTTATCCCCCACCCCCTCCATTTCCTTCCTTTTACTCTCTCCCTGCTGAAGACAATTGCTATCTTGTCAGCAAGGCTGAGCTTTTCTCCTTGACTCTGTGACATTGGAACCTAGGACATTTAGGAAAGTTCTGCTATCAAAAAACTACTTACAATTAAAAGCAGCTTCTGGGATCTGGAGAGAGGACTCAGAGGGTGAGAACACCAGCTGCTCTTTGGGGATCCAGGCTAGATCCCCAACACTCAAACCGCAGCTCACAACCTTGGTTAGTGAGGTTCCAGGGGATTCCATGCAAACTCCTGGCCTCCATAGGCACTGCACACATACAGTGCAGAGAATCACACACTGACAAAGTACTCATGAGATAAAAATGAATGATTATCCTTTTCTGTTTGAGAAGAGGCTTTTACATAGGAAAAGTCCAAAATCTTGGTAGAAAAATTTTGAATTTGTTGTCACTTTTAAGTG